AATTGGTATTTTCATAAAAAGAAATAGTGTTCTTGGCCTGATTTTAAATTTTATGAGAATTTTTAATATTTGACCCCAAGTTTGATTTTTATTATTTTTAATTTGTATTTTCGAATTGTCTCTTTTTCTTACTCTTTGTCAAGTCAGGTTAAAAATAAATTCTTCAAAATTAAGAGGCATGTTCCTTTTGTAAAGTCTCTTTTAGGTACCTGACTACAATGCCTAAGCTTTTCACCATAAACATTTTTTTAAAATATCAAACAATATGGAGCTATACAGAAATCTTTCAAAAATAAGAGAAATGTGACTTTTTATAAAGTCTTTCGTGTACCTGACTGTGCTCCCTAGCCTTTCACTACAAATAGCTGTTAAAATAAGTACCAAACCCATGTTAAAATATATAGAATTTAATTATGTGTAGTAGAATCACATATATAATGAGTAAAAGGAAATGTTTAAAATCTTGTATATATGAGTATACATATATACGTACATATATGTGTGTGTATAAATATAAAATCTTCACTTAACGTTGCAACTTTAAGCAAAATGACATATAACAAAATCAGTTGTATCATAAGCTAATTGAGATAAACAAGAGTTAAGTTCCTACAGCATCTCATCAACATTATAATGAAACAATATTGTTCAAGAACACAGAGTCATGCACCACTTAACAACAGAAACACGCTCTGAGAATGTGTTATTAGGCAATTTTGCAGTTGTGCGAACATCATAGAGTGCACTTACACAAACCTAGATGGTACAGGCCATATGATGTAGCCTATTGCTCCTGGGCTACAAGCCTGTACAGCATGTTACTATACAAAACAATACGAGGTTAAATCAAGCACAAGAGAAAATGATGCAACCAAGAGACAAGGTAAACAGGAGATGCATGAGGCTGCTGCTGCCATAACACTACCTACTGTTTATACAGCCAACCTTTCTTTATAAATAGAAAGAGTACACTCTAAAATATACTAAAGTATAGTAAATACATAAACCAGTAACAGTCATCTATTACCATTATCAAGTATTATTTATACTACTGTCCATAATTTTATGTGCTATACTTTTATAAAACTGACAGCTCAACAGGTTTGTTTACACCATCATCACCACAAACACGTAATGCATTGTGCTACGATGTTGTGATGGCCACCATGTCACTAGGTGATATGATTTTTTTTTCCACATTTTATTCATTTTTTTTATTATTTGTTTGCTTTTCAATTGCAGTTGACGTTTAATATTGCATTAGTTTCAGGCGTGCAGCATATTGTTTTCTCAGCTCCATTATAATCTTATGGGACCACTGTCGTATATGCAGTCCATCGTTGACAGAAATGTCATTACGTGGTGCATGACTGCATATACTGAAATACTGCCTTATTTTTATCAAACACTCCTGGTTTCTGTCCTGAGCTTCTCTTCTTATTTATACACTCCCTAGACAGTGTCATCTGGTTCTATGGCTGTAATTCTGTTCTATAATGAAATATCTCTCCCCTGAACTCCAGACTTCTGCTTACAACTTTAATACTCAACTTCTGCATCCAACATCCAACATAAATATCTAATAGGCATTTCAAACCTAGCATGGCCACATAGAACTCTTGATTTTGTCCAGCCACACCCAAACTTCCAATTCGCAGGCCCTCACATTCTCCATCTCCATAAATTGTGCCAGCATGAACAATTACCTTTTATTCCTCTCTTTCTCTTCTCTCTTCACCCCCGCCCCTACATCCAACCCATTCTGTTGAGTATACCAACAAATTATTCAAATCCATCCATTTCTCTCCACTACCATTTCTGTCGCCACCTACTTAGATACCAGCTTCCTTCCCTCGCTATCTACTAGGATGCTTTCCCCACCAGACCCCTGCTGCACTCCACTCTTGGTCTCTAACCATTCTTCACACAGCAGCCACTCTTGTCCTCCCCCTGCTGAAATGTAAATGGAAAGCCAGTCTCATTGTCCTTCTGTTAACAATCTTCCAGGGGCTTCCCGCTACAGTTAAAATAAAATACCAAGTCCTTTATCTGCCTTGCAAAGCTGTCCTGGTCAGCTATTCTCAGGCCTCTTATCAACCTTCTTGTAGCCCATTTGCTGCAGTCACACTGGCCTTTCCAACCCTTAAACGGGCCAAGTTCTTTTGTCGCCCAAAGGCCTTTGCTCTTGCTCATCTCTCAGTCTAGAAGCTTCTTCCCTGATATTTCCACAGCTGGCTCCTTCTTGTCATACTGAGCACCCTGTTTAGTGTCCTGCATAGCTGTAAAGTCCCCCATCTAATATGTCTTCATTATCCATTGGCTTATGTATATTTCATTTTTTCTCACTAGAATGTAAGTTCCATGAGAACGAGAGCCTCTAGTGCCTCCTTATCCATCTTCATTAGTTTGGGGTCCCAAACTAATCTGTGACCTGTTAGGAACTGGGCCATACAGCAGGAGGTGAGTAGCAGGTGAGCGAGCCAAGGTTCATCTGTATTTGTAGCCGCTCCCCAGTGCTCACATCACTGCTTCAGCTCCACCTCAGATCAGCAGGCATTAGATTCTCATAGAAGCACTGGTCCTTGGTGCCAAAAAGTTTGGAGACCACTGGTCTAGACAGTAGGCACTCAATAGCTTCTTGAATGAATGTAGACAAAGAATTATGGTTCCAAATGCTTTTGATTTTATATAGCAGTTAAGAAATAAATATACTACTTTAACCTTTTTTAGCTTGCGAGAAAATATGATTTCCTCATAATAGAAGATGATCCTTACTATTTTCTCCAATTCAACAAGGTAAGTGACAATTGAACTTATTTCACAATTAGAAGATAAACTGTTATGAGTTATTACACTGCATTTGATTTTAGCCTGACAGCTAATCCACCTTTACATTGAAATTAAATGATTGATAATTTACTACCACTTCAACTTTTAGCCTTTTAGTTTTATCATGGAATTAGTACTTCTCATTTTGGTATTACTGTTCTTTCTAGAAATAACTTACTTTTAAAATGGTAGCTGGTGCTCCGTACTGTGCATTTGGACAAACACAAGATTTGGAAGCTGTTTTCAAGCTGAAAGAGAAAGAGGACTGTGATCAATTAGTGACATCCATTATGGACATAAGGCATTACTGGCACCATGCCACATATTTGCCATCCCTATCCTTAAGGTCTTGGATCTTACTTGCAGTAGAATGGGTTTTTAGGTTTCTTCTCACTATATAGGTATGCCACTTTTCATAATCATTTGTTCCTAACAGACAGTAGTAGTGATACAGACTCTCAATGCCTGGTTTCTCAAACTCAAACACTATCTTTATTTGCTCTCAGGGCTGCTGAGAACATATACTTGGATTTGATTCCCCCTTTAAATCTACTGGAAAGAAAAACTTTTAATTTCTCTATATGGTTTGCCTGAATGAATAGTATGTCTGCCTCCCTACACCCCATCCTCAATGTGATTGTGGCTCCCTTTCTTGTATACATCTACTTTTGAAGCAAATAATTTATATTGATTAAATTTCTCATCATCAGCTTCATCTTTTATCTTTCTAGTTCTAAGGATCAACATTTTCTCTCTAAACAATCCTGAATGCTTCTGACCCTCTTTATATCTTATCCAAACTAGTTTTTCTTGAATCTTTCCTCTAAATCTGTTTCTAAATCTGTTAATCCTGAATTTTAGTCCTTAGGGCCAGGAGGGCCTGGGTGAGGTTTCCCTAAATTCTTAATAATGGCATCTTAACCAAAGGAGTAAACCCTTGTGTGTGTTCGTGTGTGTGCACGTGTGTGTGTGTGTGTGTGTGTGTGTGTGTGAATGGCAGAAAAGTAATCAAAACATGCAAATACTAATAAAAGAACATGCATCTCTGTTTTTACTCCATTTTAAATAGTTGAGATAAAGATAATGGAAAAGATGGTTCTGCTGCTGTTCATTAGAATCCATGCTTTTCCCATTCTCTACATAAAGTTAACTATGCAGTCACTAACAGAGTTCTCAAACCAATAGTATTTATGTTTCCCGTTTCAAGCCCTGGGCACCAACATTTCTTTCAATGGACGTTGATGGGCGTGTCATCAGAACTGACTCTTTTTCAAAAATCCTCTCCTCTGGGTAAGCCCTTATTCTCTAACTTAAGGCTAGATCTAAAAGAGATAGAAACTGTGCCTCATCATCTTTAGTCTAAACAATTCTTCTCATTTAATATGTTTGTATTCCATTTGCCTGAAAACAGCAGTTAAATTATTGATATAAAAATAGGCCTGTTCTCTCTGTTCATCCCCAGTAGAGGGAATGGTCAGGTTTTCAGTTTCGTATATGAAAGAGCATATTTAGAAATACTTGGTTAGACTTGCATTATATTTTAAATGTACACTTAAATTTAAATTTGTATTTTAAATAAGAAGTAGTTAGTTTTATTAGAATATTTTAATTGTCTAGGACCATTTGCCCCAGGTCACAAGTCTTTTCCTAGTGAAATCAGGAAAATGACATGTATTAATTAGTACAGGACTGGTATTGTGCTGTGCCTTTTCTCTTTTTTTATGTAGGTTGAGAATAGGATTTGTAACTGGTCCAAAAACCTTAATAGAGAGAATTGTTTTACACATGCAAGTTGCAACATTGCACACCAGCACTTTTACACAGGTAAGGACAATTTAGGAAATAGAAAAAAAAAATTTAAATCAGTTAAGAATAAAAATTAGATGCTCACAAGTAAGACCAAGTTAAGGTGGCAGGGAGGGAAATCACTGATACTGAATCTCTAGTTGTAATATGTACTGAATTAGAAAACCAGATGTTTATTCTAAAAGACAAATGAGAATGGAACTAATCTGGCGTTATTTTGTGGCACAGACCTAACTCCCTGAGAATCAGGCTATCTTATTCATGTTGTGTACCTAGCATCTATCACAAGAACTTCATAAAAACTTTTGACCCGAACAAAATGGAACTGGGCTGGAATCAGTAATGTAGCTTGAGCTTCATTGTCTTAGAATCTACAATGAGAACAAGAACTCCAAACTTGTTTAGTAACTCATTGTTTGCCTTCACTGCACATGTGCTAACCTGTCCTAAAGACACTGGTTGGTATGTATTTTAATTGAAATAGAGTTGATTTTAGAGAATGTATAAACTTCCTCACAAGTTTTGAGAAATAATTGAGTCCCTCCCTAATGCAATCTTGAGAATCAGATCTTAAGGACAGAATTGCTACCTAAGAACTCAAAGTTCTTAGGGAACTTTCTGTAAAATAGGACATTCACTTGATATTTTACATTACAGAGTGCTTTATTGAGTTTGGGACTTGTTCCTTTTCTTTTTGTATCTGTTATCAACAAAACTTTACTATCCATTTATAACATTTAGAACTTCCATTTTAGATAGAAGAATCTTCAAATATATAACTTTATATGTCTACTATATGTTTTTTACATTTAGAGAAGAGGTACAGTATGGTAATTAATAGCATGGAACAGGAGCTGGACAATCTGACTTGAACCCAAGCTCTGTGACGAGCTTTGTGACCTCAGGAAATTTAACTTAACCCTTGTATTTCCTTATCAGTAAAATAGAAATAATAACCTGCCTAATAAGGTTATTATAATATTAAATTAGCTAAAATATATTAATATATTGCAATAATTTCTGGCACTTAGCAAGTACAATATAAATTTATTTTTATTGTTATTAACATCTATTTTAAATCACTGACTGTATAAAACTTAGTCAGCTAGTTATATTTTCTTGTGGTGGTATACATGTAATCAAGAGTGATTGGGGAAAAAAACCTGTTTTAGAGGATAAACTATGACATTTGTTATTGTCTTATCTCTTTTAGCTTCTGGTAGCACAGCTCTTATACCAATGGGGAGAAGAGGGCTTTCTGGCTCATGTAGACAGGTATTGTATGTTAGGTTCCAGATTTTACATATAAATGGACTTTGCTTTATTAATTGTCATTTTTTAATTATTCCACAATAAAGGAAAAAATATAATGGTAAGAAGTTTGCCACCAGACAGGTCAAATAAATATGCTCTATTCTCTTATCAAGCATTCAACATTTTTATCAAGATAGAAAACAAATTCTTGTAGACGGGACTCCAGAGCCTTTTAGCTTCTGCAGTCAGTGTACTAAACACTTCCTTTTTATTTTATTCTTCTTCTAGGGTTATCGATTTCTATAGGAACCAGAAGGATGCATTATTGGTAGCTGCAGAGAAGTGGTTAAGTGGTGAGTGGGACATATATCCCATCCTGTGCTAAACAGTAGCATCTATTTCAGTGGGTGATAAAACTGCATAATATTGTTAATAATCCTGTGGGCAAAGAAACAAGAGTGCAGGAATATTCTTGTCAAGAAAATATTACCCTATAAATAATCTCAGAAGTAACAGTCTGCAAGCTCTGGCATATTTCTACCTATCTCTTTTTTACCTGTCTGTTGCAAAGAATTTGTGGTTTAAAAAAAAAAAAAAAAAAGATCGATTAGTCTAATAATCAACCAGCGATAAGTTACTTAAAGCTAAATAACATCTATACTCGAAAGGTTTTAGAGTTATTTCAAAATTTTCCTCTAAATAGAAGAGGAATTGTGAAACAATCAAATATACTTCTTTTCTAACTAGCTTATATAAAGACAAAAGAGTACAATCTACAGAGGATTTCTCTTACAAATGATTTGCCTTTTAATCACTAACATTATTTAATATTATCTATTGCTAATTTGATTGCAGGATGGTTTAGATTTAATTTTCTATTTAAAAAAGAAAGTAAAACGAATTACATGGCTTTAATTATATCATTAAAAATGCCTTTGATATTAATAATAGTAAGTAAACAAAAAAACCAATTCCTTATTTCTGTCATATCTTGTTCTCTATGAAGTCTCAGTAAAAATAGAATTATCTCTATGCTAAGAGTACTGTTCTACCATTTACAATGGAATTGAAGAAAAGGTTTTAACTAACAGCAACTTTAAAGAAATATATATAATTAAAACCAAAATAATTACTTTTCCTTCCTGGTTTTTCTATCCTGAGCCTCAATGAAGCATAAAGCCTACAAATGCACCTGGAATTACTGGATTTTAAGTACTTCTTTTCATAATTAATTACATGCTGATAAAAACTAATCTATTGGACTTCTAAATTATTACATAAATGATAGGATTTATTGGAAAACTGGAAGAATCTAGAAAGAGTTGAAGAATCCTCTTCTAACACTGCAAGAGTCATATTCGGCTTCGGTTTGTTTCAATCTAAGGGAAATAGACATAGGTAGTATATTTCTTGCCCAACCCTAAGACTGACTAAAATTGTAAATAACACACACTGGGCTCCTTTCCTCCCTTTCAGCCACACACTCACTCTTACTTTTTGAAATAAACTCAGTACATCAATTTTCAGAACTTATAAAATTATGTATTTTTAAATGCTATCAGTAAAGGAATCTTTTTGGAAATACTAGTTAATAGTTATGCAATTATATCATTAAACAATGTATTTGATATCATCAAAAATAGCTTCAGGCGATATTTATTCCTTTCTTTTGTTTATAGGTTTGGCAGAGTGGCATGTTCCTACTGCTGGGATGTTCATATGGATTAAAATTAAGGGCATTTATGATGTAAAAAAACTGATTAAAGAAAAGGCCATTAAGAAAGAGGTAAAAAGGGGGGGGTTATACTTTTTCTTTAAAGTAATTTCTTACTTAAATAAAAATGGAGAGACATATTTATCATTGCCCACCACCTCAACTCATAATCTTTTAATATCAGATGTGTTATCTCATTATTAAAATCATAGTAGATTTTTAGGTTACATAACCATTCTTCTTATCTAAATTAATGGAAATATAGTCATTAGTCTGAGCTACTGGTTAGTTTAGTAGCTAAGAGCACTCTCTGGAGTGACACTCCTTGGGTTTGAATTCCAGCTCCACCCTTTACTGGATGTGTGGCTTTGGGTAAGTTACCCTCTCTGAGTTTTACCTGTAAAATAGAAATAATGAGAATCCCTCCCTCATAAGGTTGCCATGATAATTAAATGAGTTAATATTGGTAAAGCATTTAGACTACTACCTGGCATATAGTAAATGCTCAATAAGTATTAGCCATTAATATTTAGAATAGAGGGTTCCCCGCCCCTTCCGATTATGAAAGTAAAGCATATTCATGGTAGCAAACTTAAAAACTTAACAAAAATATAATGAAAAGTTTTTGAATAGCCCATAATTTCTCCACCCAGATCTTATGACCATTTGTGGTGTACTTTCTTGAAAAGTTTGCATATAGCTAGTATTTTGGCTGTGCAATTATTTTATATGGTTAAAATTACACAGAAATGTTTTCAATTCAAATTAACCCATGAAGATTTCTTCTATGTTTTTTCTCCTTTTATATTTCAATCATAAGTCTAATTAGATTTTGTTCTGGGGCATTGATTAAGCTTAGAAATCTAAATATATCTCTGCATAGTTTTTCAAATTACCAAATAAATTAATTCTTTTATCATGATTGTCAGTCTTTTTATAAACAATAAGATCTATTTCTAGTATCATTTTTTTTCTCGAAGCAATATGTATAAAAGAACAGATTGTGTTGATGTTGGCAGAGCACTCTGCTAGTGTCTAAGAGAGGAGGCTGCTAAAAGGCTAGAGCTAGAAACTGACCGGCTGGACTCCAGTGCCAGTTCCACTTGCTTAGGAAAGTCATTCATCTTCTCTAATCATCTTACTGGAGGGCAGGACTCATGCTTTATGGACTGTTCTGATCCTAGTAACAGCATACATTAGGTACTTAATAAATACTAAACTGATTTATTTCAAAGAAATATATTTTAGCATAATAATCAAGTTTATATTTTCTTTGCTTTTCTATCAATGCTATTATCTTAAGAACATTTGATAATTAGCTGTTTGTATGTATCTCTGAGCTATGTGCTAAGGATACAGACTATGTATCCTTATTTAATTGCAGTTTTTTCAGTCCTCATCCTTTATTCCATATATCCTGTTGCATGTACCTTAACTTTTTCTAAATAATCTCCAACTTTATCATCACTGCCTTAGCCTAGATTTTGGTCATCTTGCAAAGAAATTATTACCACACCCTCCTTTTCTTACAGCAACTTGCTTTTAGCACATGCCAAAACTTTTCTACTATTTAAGAGAAATGATTTTCATTTTATTGTTAATCAGGATGCAAAATCCCATTCTCTGCCTTGAAATCTTTTCCCCAGAGTATCCCAAATCAATTCACTCCCAACTCATCTTACTTTAGTAGACAGTGCCCAGATTCATACTGTGTAACAAGCAGTTTACTTAATGCTTTTGAATATCATGATTGTACTACATAACAACCTCAAAGACTTAACACAATCGAAATTTATTTCTGACTCACATAATATTTACAACGATGTGATCTGCAGGCATCTCTGCTCCAAATGGTCATTCGGAGACCCTGGTTCCTTCCACCTCCTTACTCTTCAGTCTTCAATGCATAGATTTCACAAATGGCTACAGAATGGAAAGAGCATGGTGAATCACACAGGGGAGAATTTTATGGGTCAGGCCTAGGAGCACACATGACTTCACATCCATTGGCTGGCTAGGTTTCAGTCATGTGTCCACATATAACTAGAAAGAGGCTGGGGAATAGAATATATTCGTATGGCCAGGAAGCAGAGGGAATGTACTTTGCCAGAGTGAGCTATCTGCCACAGTGGTCATCAAGAATCGCAGTGGTTCTCACCATTGTTCTTGACACACTTAACATTGTTATTCCTTTGCTTTATGTATTAAATTTTGTACCTTCTTTCAGTTCTTTGAGGGAGCCAATTCACACTCTGTATCTTCCTACTAAAATACTCTTCCCCAACTTTTTGCTTAGCCAACACCTACCTATCTTTCAGATCCCAGCTTAAAAATCACTTCCAAATTTGATAACTAAAAAATGTTATCTCATCGTTTTAACTTACGTTACTTTTCTAGTTAGGTTAAGCATGTATTCATGTTTATTACCATTTCTATTTATATTTCTTTTATAATCTGCCCTTTACCCATTAAAACTACAATTTTAGTGTTTTTCTTCTTAGTTTCTGTGAATTCTTTACATGTGGAAAAGAGGTAGCATTTGCCATAATTATTGTAAACATTTTTCCAGTTTCTGTGCTTTTGGTTTTATTTATTGTATGTCATACAGAATTTTTACATAAATTTATTTTTCTCTTGTGATTTCTTTAATTGCTTTTAGTTTTAAAAAGTCTTTCCTCATTCTGAGATTGGATTTACCTATATTTTCTTTTAGTTTTTCTTTAATGGTATGTCACTTATTTTCCGTAAACTCAGATATTAATGGTTCCTGGAAATGATTTCTACATCGATAGCTCAGCTCCCAGCCCTTACTTTAGAGCATCCTTCTCCTTGGCTTCTCCAGAACAAATGGATGTGGTAGGTACAATATTTTCTTTAGAGTAACACTAACTATAAATTCTGTTTTTTGGTATACGTGCTCATTTTGTGAGTTACGATATAATTTACTGTCTTCTTGAGTTTCTGCAAAACAGGTATTAGTTGAAAAGTCATGAATTACCATTAAAAGACAAATTTGACTTTTTTGCTAGACTTCTATAGACAAATGAAGAGACCAAGTTGTAGTTATAATTTGTTGTTTTCATGAGTAGTTTTCAGACCTACTAAACAGTGTTGGCTGATTACCAATATGTTATAAAGAAAAGCTCTTTACTTCCTTCTTAGAATTAACATGAACCAAAAGTACAAACTTATGAAGGCTCAGTCTCTTTCACTGAGGAAAAAAGCATATCAGCAGGGGTCAAATAAAATAATATTCTCAAATTAATCACAAAGTGTAGCTTTAACCAAATAACACAACCAAGGAAACAAGTTCCTAAGGAATGTGTGTCTGAGAATCCAAAAGATCTATAAATTGACTATTGTCATTAACCTTAAGAAGAGTTCTATTTATCCTTGTAGATGTATTGGTTCTTTGTGTGTTCTTTATTTACTTGCTTTCTCATGTCATTAAATATGCTTTTCATAAGCTATCTCTGCTTTTATATAAGGATGGAGTTGGGCAATTAAAACATTTTTCTGCACATATATAGAATGTATGTGCAGGTGAGAGATTATATGAAAAAAATAAAATCATGTTTGATGTGGAAAAAAGAAAATTATGACCTTGAGAGCTATAAGAACAACAAAAAAAATCCTGGGAATCAGATATATTTATACCTACATATATTATGATATTTATGGCATCCTAATAAGATAAAACTGAGGTTAAACTTGATTTTTCATTGCCTTATCTTGACCTGAGGTGGCTATTCTTTGTTTGAATTTTTAAAGTTATGACAGACTTCCTAAATAGCATCCTAATTTTATTAATTCTTATCTATTTTCTATTGTAGGCCTTCCAGAGATTAGCTGAACTTATTAAAGAATCTTTATGAAGATATCAAACTCTTCATAGTACTCATGAATTTTTCAGAGAAATTATTTCTATGTTTTAGCAAAAAGAAGTGATCATTGATGTTAGATTTTCAGATTGGATTTCATCAAACATGTCATATATAGTAATTTAACTAGACAACTTTTATTAAAGTGCTCTTAAATCCACCAGATTGCAAAATATATTTATAATCCACTTGTACCTTTTGATAAATTTTCAACTTGCAAAAAATTATTTTTGCCTTAGATTTTACTGTAAAGAACCCTGTAGTTGCTTTATAATTTCTATAAATTTTCTTTGAAACTAACATTTTACAGTAAATTATTTTGAAAATATTAGAAAATAAAGTTCAAAATGGTATATAATGTGAACTTTTTCAATTTTTTAGGAAAATTTAATGAAAGCTTGTTGCAAAAATTATTAGAATTTGACTATTATAAATGATTTTCAATAAGAGTACCACAAACATTGTTATGCCATAGAAATCCCTGTAAAATAAAGTTCTGAAACTCACTAAATGTACCTAAAGGCATCAGACCTGTTAATTCTAAGTATGAAGGAGAGATTGAGACTTAGAAAATTTTACTACATTGCATTTTCATAATACTGCACAATTTGTAAAAACATTCTTATCAGTTATGTAATTTAAATCTCTACACCACTTTAAGGTACTTAGGATATACTTTTTAAATTATTTTCTTTCCCACCTTTTAAGAAGTTTATTTTTCCCATCTAATCACCAAAGTAATATATGCTTATTTTAAATTGTTTAAACAATTCAAGAAATATAAGGAATAAAGTAAAAGCCACTTACTGTCTCACCCCCTAGTGATAATTGCTGTCAGCATTTATCATTCATCCTTTTAGACATTTTTCTGTACATATACATGTAACAGGTAAAAGAATAGGATCTCATTATGGTAGTGTATCATAAATATCCTGTATTTAGTTTTCTATTGCTTTGTAAAAATTACCACAGTGTCCTAAAATCCAGCAGTTGTATAGCAATAAGTTCCTTTAAGAAATTAGGAAATTTATGTGTTATTTATGCCAACCTTTATGTATATAAACATCTATCATAGTTATTATTGCCCTGGCATCTGGATGAGATGTTACATCTCCCAACAGTTAAAGTTCTTGAGCAAAAATCTCACCTCAGAGCTCGAATCGCCTGGCTCAAAGCCCAAATCCCTTTTTCAAAGGTAACTCTGGTGGTTATTTAGGAGAAAATTCGAGAGACGCAGAGCCCGAAGGAAAGCTGAGATGAGGAAACTGAGAAGAAAATATAAATTAAAGAGCTTAATAAAAGTAAAAATAAAATTAGCCTTCCATTTACTTTGTTTAGGAGTTTTCAACAATAATTAAAATTGTTTAGCCATGCACTATATAAATGAGTGCTTTGTTTTTTTTGTCACCAACACAGAATAGTTGATTTATATGTTCATTCATAATCCCCAGCTTTCAAGCAGGAGATTGCCTCTAACTACAATATATATATATATTGTAGAATCTCTGTCTACTTTCTCAGCCTTTTTAACTATTTTGGAAAGCACAGAATATATGAGTATTAAACATTTTTTGCTTAAACCAGCTACAGTAGTTTCCATTATCTACAACTAAATGCAAACAGAGCCAGGGGAGTCAGGGGTCTCAAAAACCACCATTAAGCTTGATGAGTCCCTAAAAGGATGCAGAGGACCCAGAGGTTGTATTCACAGGTACAGTTTATTATAGCGAAAAGATATAGTAAGATCTCAGAAGGAAAAGCTACATGGGGCAAAGTCTGCAGGAAATCAGCACAAGCTTCCAAGAATCCCTTCCCAGCAGAGTCACACAGAATGTGCATAATTCCTCCAGCAATGATTTGTGACATCATGTGCAAAGTCTTGTTGACAAGGTAGGCTCACTTGGATTGGGTTGTCCAAGGTTTTTATTGGGGGTCAGTCACATATATATATAACACCTACATGACTGACCTCAGTTACTGAAGCTCCAAACCCTCAGAGGGAAAGGCATTCACCATAAATCACATTGTTAGTAAAAACCCCTGGAAAACTCTTGTAGTATGGGTCACAACCCCCAACATGCAACACACTCTTATCGGTCAGAATATTCCAAGAGTTCGGTTCCCAGGAGCCAACCAAGGGCATCATGAAAACAGCCCTTTCTAGGTAATGTGCATGGTTCGAATGACCCAGAGCTGCTGAGTTAACCCTTTCCACCCACCAGGAATCCCACTTCTAGACATTTATAGTAAAGAATGACCCAAAATATGGAAGAAACTAAAAAATGCAAAAATAGTAATTGTAATTTAAAATAGCATAATGCTGGGGGTAGCAGTTGAAGTTTTGGGGCTAAATGTCTCAGAGTAGGAAAATGGTTATATCAGTTATGGTTCATTCACATAACTAAGTTGTAGGCAACCACTAAAACACCATTATGAAGCAGTATCATTCATTTTATAAAATATTACAGTAAAACAAATATATATAAAATGGAATGAAAAATCAGGGTATGAATATACATATACTTTAATTACAACTCTAAATTCTAAGAACAAATCTATCAAAAAGACGACAATTGGATAATATTTTTCATTTTCAAAATATTCTCTAACATGGTCCTTTACTTTTATAATTTAAAAATAATTTTGAATACCTTAAGAAAACGAGTTACACTTTTTTCAGTTTGATAAGCAGAGATTCTTAAAAGGCAATGGTAAAAAAATATAATTCAGGATGGCACTAGTGTGCAAATACCATGTAATGGAAAATCAAATTGGAAGGCACATCTATACAGCCAGAGTCTATTTGAATCTGGCCAAAAATTACATAGGTTTAATTTTCTATTGTTAGTCTATGTGGCTTCTTTATGGCTGCCATAATGTCACCATCTATGGACCCAAATAAACTGAAGCAGCTGTGGAACATCTCGTCCTGGTGGTTTTCAATATGTCTATTTCAAGTTGGCCTAAAACAGTTGTCATTTAGCATGGTTCTCTTTTTATTTAAATTTGAATATTTATTTGTCCATGTGAGGAATTTTCTCTCCTCTACGTATGAAAGTTTTTAATGCTCCCCAAAAATACTCCTACAGCATGGTGTATCTTTAGATTCCTTTTTAAAAGAATGTTAAATTAAGTCTTCATTGGGTGACAGTTATTAACTTTATCAAAAGTAAACTTAATTAAAATTTTCGGAGACTAAAAATCTTAATGAAAATCAAATATTGACTAAACATCTAATTTTAACTAGTGATATGTGTTTATTAAGATTTTAGGTTTCCTGAAGTTAAGAACCATAAGTCCTTCCTCTGAAACCCACTGGCAATTAAAAGAATGTGATTTTTTAAGTGTGTGTATTGTATATGTGTGCATTGTATAGCCTGCCTTTATAGTTACTCTACTTTTAAGCTTTGGGATTTAAATTTTCATATATCGATTTTATTCTTTCAGTCAGCAAATATTTATTGAGTGCCTACTATTACAGGCACTCAACATATAGAACAAAATTAATTCTTACATTTGGGGCAAGAGTTGGTGAAGGAAGACAGACAATAATAATTATTAATTAAAGTATATTATGCAGCGATAAGTGCTACAAAGAAAATAATAAGGGTAAAGAGATTGATAATGATAAAGCTGGGTTACTATTTTTAAAACAGGTCTCAGAGAAGTTCCCCAGAACAGGTGACATTTGAGTAGAGAGCAGAATGCAGTGAAGGAATGGGCTGTGCAGATTATCTCTATAAAGCACTTGATGCAGAGTGAACTTGAAGTGCAAAAGCCCTTAGGAAAGACCACATTTGGCCTATTTTAGGAACTATGAAGAGTTCTAAGTGGCTAAAGAGTCCACAGAAGTGCGCAAGTCTGCTCAGCTGCCACAACAAAGCACCACAGGCTGGGTGACCTAAGCAACAGAAATTTATTTTCTCACAGTTCTGGAGGTTGAAAGTCCAAGATCCAGGTGTCAGCAGAGTTGGTTTCTTCTACAGCCTCTCTTCTTGGCTCGTAAATGCCTGTCTTCTCCTTGAATCTTCACAGGTCTTCCCTGGCTGTGGCCCAATTTCTTCTTCTTGTAAGGACACCAGTCACACCAGTAATAGGAGATTATGGCCCACCCTAATGACTTCATTTTAATTTAATTACCTCTTGAAAGATCCTATCTCCAAATACAGTCACATTTTGAGGAGGGGGGTAGAACTTCAACATATGAATCTGGAGTCAGGGATAACAATTCAGCCCACAAGAAAAAGAAAGTTTAAAAGATAAAAGGCCCAGAGATAAGGGTGAAGGGTGGCCAGACCAGGTAAGGCCTTGAGGGCCATGCATGAGTTTGAATTATTCTATGGAAATGGAAAGCCATTGGAGGGTTTTAAGCAGAACAGCATGAGCCAGCTTGGAATTCAAAGGGTCGCTCTAACACCAGCATGGAAAATGGATCAGAATGGAGCAAGGGTAAAAGCTGGGAGACCACTTAGGAATCTGGGGACAGGACCTTCTATTTCGATTAGAATGATCAGGAAGGAACTCTCTGATGACATTTAAGGCAAGATCCAAATAAAGTGAGGGGAAATTAATGAAGGTATCTAAGGAAAGAGAGAAGCAAAATAATTTTTTAATAAAAACTAAATATAAAGAGGCTGCTTTATGAATTGAAGGTGAAATAAATACAACATGATTCCTACTCTCACATAATTTGAATATGCAACTCATTTTGTTTCTCTTATTAGTTTGACTTGACTAAGTTGCTTTTCTTTCTTATTCCTGTTTACAGATTTTTTAATTCCCATTTTATTTCATGCACTTTTTGTAAACTGTTTTATGTATATATTTTTTTTTGCTTGGAATTTATAACTGAAACTGGAAATTTAAATACTAACCCAAAAAATGCTCATAATTTTAATAACATTTAGTATTTAAATAGTGAAACTGCCCAGATACCACAATAATGTGTTCATTATAGTTATTGAAAAATCAATCAAAATTAGAACTTAATGGAG